CTGACAATCACCATTGTGTGGGGGCTGACAATCACCATTGTGTGGGTGACACCATTGTGTGGCTTACAGTCATATAGTGGAGCCTGACGTTGCCACAGTGTGATGCCTGACGATTACTACTGTGTGGGGAATGACAGCTACAGTGTGTGGGGGCCTGAGGATCACCATAGCGTGGGGCCTGATAGTTACCACAGTGTGGGGCCTGACAGTCACCATAGTGTGGGCCCGAAAGTACACAGTGTGATGCCTGGGATTACTACTGTGTGGGGAATGACAGTTACTACAGTGTGGGGCCTGAGAATCACCATAGCGTGGGGCCTGACATTTACCACAGTGTGGGGCCTGACAGTCACCCTAGTTTGGGGCCTGGCAATCACCAAGGTGGGAGCTGACAGTCACCATAGTGTTGGGCCTGACAATCACCATTGTGTGGGGGCAAATTTGGTAAGAAGTCACACCATCCTCGACACCGGCTCCTACTACCACCTGAGATCCCTAGCCCGAGAATTGCTGTTCGACACCACAACCACATCCAGCCCATACGTGCACGAACTGATCGCTATAAGAACAGCCCAGTCCCAACCATTGTAAAATTATCAATAACTTGTAATAAACCAGTGTATTCACTCCCAGTAAATACTACTTCTTGCACTGTCACTATGTTGAAATGCACTGTAGTTTGAGCTTTTCCCCATCTAGTTATTATATATCTTATTTGTATCACTTATGTTACTTGTATATTATTTGTAATTCGAAACCCATTCCCCAAATATGTAACTGTATATTTTCAGCCTTCTGGCTGCCAAGCCTTCAATAAACCGTTAATTATTATTATTATTACTCATAACCCTCGCCACGAGGAGTGGGTCACAACCCTCACCACGACGTATGGGTCACAACCTTCACCACGAGGTGTGGGTCACAACCTTCACCACGAGGAGTGGGTCACATCCCTCACCACGAGGTGTGGGTCACAACCTTCACCACGAGGAGTGGGTCACATCCTCACCACGAGGTGTGGGTCACAACCTTCACCACGATGGTGGGTCACAACCCTCACCACGAGGTGGGTCACATTCACCACGAGGAGGGGTTACAACCTTCACCACGACCTATGGGTCACAACCTTCCACGAGGTGTGGGTCACAACCTTCACCACGAGGAGTGGGTCACAACCTCACCACGAGGTGGGTCACAACCTTCACCACGAGGGTGGGTCACAACCCTCACCACGAGGTGGGTCACAACCTTCACCACGAGGAGGGTTACAACCTTCACCACGACCTATGGGTCACAACCTTCACCACGAGGTGTGGGTCACAACCTTCACCACTAGGTGTAGATCATAACCTGCCACACGAGGGTGGGTCACAGCCCTCACCACGACTTATGGGTCACAACCTTCACCACGAGGTGGGTCTCACAACCTCACCACGGAGGTATGGGTCCAACCTCACCACGAGGTGTGGGTCACAACCACCACGAGGTATGGGTCACAACCTCACCACGAGGTATGGGTCAACCTTCACCACGAGGTGTGGGTCACAACACTCACCACGAGGTAATACAACCCTCGCCACGAGGTGGGTCACAACCTTCACCACGAGGTGTGGGTCACAACCACCACGAGGTGTGGCTCACAACCCTCACCACGAGGTATGGGTCACAACCTTCACCACGAGGTGTGTGGGTCACACTCTCACCACGAGGTGTGGGTCACAACCCTCGCCACGAGGTGTGGGTCACAACCTTCACCACGAGGTGTGGATCATAACCCTCGCCACGAGGTGGGTCACAACCCTCACCACGACGTATGGGTCATAACCTTCACCACAGGTGTGGGTCACAACCTTCACCGAGGTGTGGGTCACAACCTTCACCACGAGTGGGTCACAACCTCTCGACGTGGGTCTGCTTCACCACAGTGGGGTCATCCCTCACCACGGGTGTGGGTCTAACCTTCACCACGAGGAGTGGGTCACATCCCTCACCACGAGGTGTGGGTCACAACCTTCACCGAGGTGTGGGTCACAACCTTCACCACATGGTGTGGTCACAACCTTCACCAAGAGGTGGGTCTAACCTTCACCACAGTGTGGGTCACAAACCTCACCACGAGTGTGGGTCACACTTCAAAACAGTGGGTCACAACCTTCACCAGGTGTGGGTCTAACCTTCACCACGAGGTGGGTCTAACACCACAGGTGTGGTCACCTTCACCACGAGGTGTGGGTCTAACCTTCACTACGGGTGTGGGTCAGCAACCATCACCACGATGTGGTCACAACCTTCACCACGGTGGGTGCAGCCCTCACCACAGTGGGTCACAGCCCTCACCACGAGGTGGGTCATAGCCCTCACAGTGTGGGTCCTATCTACATGGTGTGGGTCACAACCTTCACACAGGGTGTGGGTTGCAAACCTCACCACAGTGTGGGTCACAACCTATCACGAGATGTGGGTCCAACCTTCACCACGAGGTGTGGGTCACAAACTTCACCAGGTGTGGGTCACAACCTTCACCAGTGTGGGTCACAACCTTCACCACGAGGGTGTGGGTCACAACCTTCACCACGAGGTGTGGGTCCAACCTTCACCACAGGTGTGGGTCACAACCTTCACCACAGGTGTGGGTCACAACCTTCACCACGAGGTGTGGGTCACAACCCTCACCACGAGGGTGTGGGTCACAACCTTCACCACATGGTGGGAGGTCACAACCTTCACCACGAGGTGTGGGTCACAACCCTTCACCGAGGTGTGGGTCTCCACCTTCCACGGGTGTGGGTCTGACCTTCACCACAGGGTGTGGGTCACAACCTTCCCACGAGGTGTGGGTCACAACCTTCACCACGAGGTGGGTCTCAACCTTCACCACGAGGTGTGGGTCCTAACTCACACAGGGTGGGTTTAACTTCACCACGAGGTGGGTCTGTTCCCTCACCACGGGTGGGTCACAACCCTCACCACGGGTGTGGTCTAACAACACCACGAGGTGGGTCATAACCTTCACATGGTGTGGGTCACAACCTTCACCACAGTGGGTCACAATTCACCACGGTGTGGGTCACAAACCTCACACGAGGTGTGGGTCTCACGAGGAATAATGTCAGCTTTACCACGAGGTGTGGTCTAACCTTCACCACGAGGTGTGGTCTAACCTTCAACGAGGTGTGGGTCACAACCTTTACCACAGGGTGGGACACAGCCTTCACCCATGGTGTGGGTCACAGCCCTTACCACGAGGTGTGGGTCACAACCTTCACTACGAGGTGCGGGTCAACAACCATCACCACGAGGTGTGGGTCACAACTGCTCAGGGTAAAATCCCTTCGGTAGTTATATGAGCTTGTAATTTACTGTTCACAGTTATTGTACTGTACACAGGTAATATGGTTTCCCATTTTCGTCATTCTTCGCTGCACCGACTCCAGTGAATTGATATCCATTCTATAATAAGGGCACCAGAATTGAACCGCATAATCGAGGTGCGGCCTGACTAGCGCAAAAATATTGCAATATGACCTCCGCACTGTTCCCACTCTTTTCAAGACTCGAGGAAATTTTCATCGGCCTTGGAATTTTTGTCTTCTTTAATTTATTTAGCTTCTAAAGAACATCCTCATTTCTGGTAATCATATCCTTTAGTTTTTCTTCTTCATTTCCCCTAAATATCGGTTCCACCTCTGGCGTTTCCTCGTGAATTTCTTCTGTGAACACCGATAAGAGCTGTTTAATGCTTATTTCCTTATCTCACCATTCACTTCCCCTATCTCGGTAATATACTGGCACTGGGTAATGTACTGTACACAGGTAATGTACTATACACAGGTAATGTACTGTACACAGGTAATGTATGTACTGTACACAAGTATTGTACACAGGTAATATACTGTGCACAGGTAATGTACTGTACACAGGTAATGTACTATACACAGGTAATGTACTGTACACAGATAATGTACTGTACACAGGTAATGTATGTACTGTACACAAGTATTGTACACAGGTAATGTACTGTACATAAGTAATGTATTGTACACAGGTAATGTACTGTGCACAGGTAATGTACTGTACACAAGTAATGTATTGTACACAGGTAATGTACTGTACACAGTAATGTATTGTACACAGGTAATGTACTGTACACAGGTAATGTACTGTACACAAGTAATGTACTGTACACAGGTAATGTTCTGTATACAGGTAATGTACTGTACACAGGTAATGTACTGTACACAGGTAATGTTCTGTATACAGGTAATGTTCTGTATACAGGTAATGTACTGTACACAGGTAATGTACTGTACACAGGTAATGTACTGTACACAGGTAATGTACTGTACACAGGTAATGTTCTGTATACAGGTAATGTACTGTACACAGGTATTGTACTGTACACAGGTCATGTACTGTACACAAGTAATGTTCTGTATACAGGTAATGTTCTGTACACAGGTAATGTTCTGTACACAGGTTATATACTGTACACAGGTAATGTTCTATACACAGGTAATGTTCTGTATACAGGTAATGTTCTATACACAGGTAATGTTCTGTATACAGGTAATGTTCTGTATACAGGTAATGTTCTGTATACAGGTAATGTTCTATACACAGGTAATGTTCTGTATACAGGTAATGTTCTGTACACAGGTAATGTTCTGTACACAGGTAATGTTCTGTACACAGGTAATGTTCTGTACACAGGTAATGTTCTGTACACAGGTAATGTTCTGTATACAGGTAATGTTCTATACACAGGTAATGTTCTGTATACAGGTAATGTTCTGTATACAGGTAATGTTCTATACACAGGTAATGTTCTGTATACAGGTAATGTTCTGTAAATCAGTAAACAAGTGTTTTTTTTACCTTTTCTTCACGTTTCCTTGATTAATTAAAGGTGATCGTCAGCACACAGTTCCATCAATAATCAACCTCATCCCCAAATAAGAAATTATCATTAAATGAAATGTCAAAACGCACATATTAAGCCAGATGTCACAACGAGTCATAAGCAAGTCAAAAGTCATCATCAAGTAGACTAATCGTTATGTAACTCATCATCTTCAGGTCAAAGGTCATTACAAGGCGTGTCGTGTGGGAGTCACCGGAAGGCCGCTTGCTTCCTCTTCACTTTAGAGGGGTCATCGCCGCTGGGCGTAGCAGGAGCGACGTTGTGGTTGTGGAAGATGAAGGACCTGGCCGACGGTCCCTCACAAACCCTGACCATCACAGAGGTAAGTCTCGACTCACCTCTGCTATACACTTACTTTTATCCTTCTGTAAATGAGGTTCGTGTCTTCATTTCTTTCCCTTGTAAATTTTCTTTTGTACGACAATATCATGAATTTTATTTTAGGAACTGACATTCGAAAGAAAAGAAAAATATTATGGGTTTGTCATCCGCAGGTGACGCCTACGACCCACCACGCGACGCCTCAAAGAACGATCCTGGCCCATAAGAATACTACAGTCAGTAGCGACTGGATGGAGGTCGACTTAAGTGGGGCGATGGGTCGGTGGGTGGCCAGTGGGAGGCACCAGGTGATGGTAGAGGTGTCTTGCTCCACCTGTCAGGGATCCCTCTACTCCATGTCTCACCTCCCAGAACACCGTTCCTTTATCGTCGTTACAACACAGCAGCCCCAGGTCAGTGCTCTTTAATTCAAGAATAAACTACTAATTTGTTTTAGTAATACTACTGCAGTGTCATACTTAAGTGTCGTATTTTTGCAACATTGTAGAAAGTTAAAAGGTGTTGTATATTTACGTGATATCTGAAAGTTCGTTTATTTTATTGTTTACTGTATGTGAAAAAAAATTTCATAGATAAAAGTTCTAAAAATTATTATCAGAAATATTATTTTAATTATTTTAGCAATAACATAAAAACTGGAGGTCATGAGTAACAGCCTGGCGGAGAGTAGTGTAGGTGAGTTATACTGTTACTGGTGTTCTTCAGGTACGCAAAAGACGTTCGACCCAAGAGTGCCCCTCACTGTGGGGTGGCGGATGCTGCAGAGCTTCCATCACCGTCAGTGTGGAGGAGATGGGTTGGGACGACTGGTGGGTACAGCCTCAGAGCTTTACCTTCTACTATTGCCATGGCGCCTGTCAATCTACCGCCGCCTCAGCCAATGCTGAAGGGATATCTCGCTATAACAACTTACTCCAGGTAAGTCTGTTTTACCAGGGAGCCTTTATGTTGCTTTAAAAACATTAGGTTTCTGAACTCATTGGGATAAAATTATACAGATGTACCAATCTCCTATATTTAATAGTTGTAAGCATTTCTTTGCAGGACAAAGTGAGGAACGCTATACGGTATACACACATTATTGTATAATGGTGTTGATTACTTTCAATGTATCCTGGTGTACAGTAGTGGTGATGGGCACGGTCAATGTGCCCTGATGTACAGCCCACGTGTGTGTGTGTGTGTGTGTGTGTCATTGGTTAGAGCGTTCTCCTAGAGAGCGAATGGTCGCAGGTTCTATTCCATGGGCAGGAGAGAAGGACTGGGTTCCTATACAATAGCCCTTGTGCACTTAGCAATAAATAATTTGTAGCAGCTGAATGCTAAAATTCAGAAATCAGCACCCGTCCACCCACCCTGAAGTATAGGGTAAAGACTGTTTAATATCACAATGTTACTAAACTCTGTTCACTCCAAGCTTGCATCTGAGCCAAATAAAAGGGGGTTCATGATTGGTCGGGTCACGCTGGGTGGGTATGCGCAGGAGTTAGGGAGGTTAATATAGCTGGACGCCACTGATCTTTTTTTTTTAACTTTTTCACTGTAATATACCTACGTTATCAATGTATTTCACATACTAATTTTTTGCTTCCCCAGCTTCGGATATCATTCTAGATCAACATTTAATTCGTAATATTTCTTGTCCATTTCCCTTCTTAGCTAATACATTAACCTAAAAAAGGGGTCCCCCAGCAACCGATGGATGGTACAGGGAAGTACAGAGTCAAGTGAACCTCATTTAATTAACTCCAGTGCCCCCCCGGCTGAATAGAGTAAGTAGAACACGACATATATTATACCAACGCACCTCATTCCGCCAGCCAGTCAGTCGCATTGTTAAATATTTTTCTTGGCCCTGGTTGCTGAGTACAGTAATACTACGGCCGTGTTAATTATGATAAACATAAATTGAAGACAGTGTTGGTTGTATCTACAGATGCTGGTGATGCGGCAGGCACCTGGGTCGTCCCTGCAGGAATCTCTTGCCCCCTGCTGTGCTCCCACCTCCTACTCCTCCATGCGAGTCCTCTACCGCCTCAGCGAAGAAAGAGTAGTACAAAGAGACATCCCCAACCTACTGGTGGAGTCCTGTGGTTGTAATGATTAGAAAATAGCGTAACAAAGTGACAAAGGTGATATTAATATTAAGACAAAAGAAAGCTTTCCTACGACCTAACAACGTCATCACTCCTACAGTAATTACACATCTGGAGAACTTCCTTCAAGTACTTTATAAGAAAGATTAATTATAACCAGTGCAGCGAGTGGTCAGTATCTTCTTGGTGGTGATCACTGCCTTTATGAATGGTCAGTGTCCTTATGATGATGGTCACTATAGTGAATGGTGTTGATTAGTCACTGCCTTTTGGTGAGTCATCACGGTCCTTGTGGTGGTGATCGATGCTACAGTGAGTGGTGTTAATTAATTACTTTCACTGTATCCTGGTGTAGTGCCCACTAGTACAGTCAGTGGCGATGGGCACGGTCAGTGTACCCTGGTGTAGTACCAACGTATATAACACATGTCGCTTCTCAGTAGTACTGTACTAACCTCTGAGATAAAATGTGCCTTGTGATGTTACACCAAGATCTCATTTTCCTTCAGAAATTCTCGTTTATAAAGTGACACTCTTTACTGTCTCAGAGAGTCTGTAATGTATCCAGTCCCATTCAGAAAGATTAGAACCGATATGTTAGATTTTTTTACGTGATAGAGGTAAGAAAACACTTGATTTACCCAGAGACTAAATTGAGTCCATATAATTTGTGCCGAGCAAGATTAACACACTGCATGTGGGGTCTCATAACTCCTTCATACTGTACCTTACTAAATATGTTAATTTCAAAAAATTATGGCTACGTGACACGCCGTTGTCATTGACATCATTTATAAATTCTAAAATGCACTTTAAATGTGCATAATCCTAGATTTTTATTTATCAATACATTCAGAACCATTTAATGTTTACGAGTCAGAGATAAAATTACACTCAGCACTTGTATTGAATATGAGTATTACACATCTTCCTTTGGTAGCAAAAACTATAAACCTTGGTAAGGATTCGGAGAAGGACACCCAAGGAAATTATTAACAAAATAGGTTTTTATAGTTTTTCACAGTATTTCAATTGCATTTAACTCTCATTTCCGTCGGTAATGAGCCATTGTGGAGATGTGATCCCCTCCCACTACTAACAATTTTCATTGCAAAAAAGAGGGCAGAACTTGAAGTACAGTAGAGGGAAACTGTGGCGTAAAAACACGAACAAAACTGACCAAACATTTCCAAACATAATCTAACCTAACCTAACCAAACCAAACCTAACCTTAATTATCAGAAACTGGAGGATAAAGTGATGCTACATGTAGGATGAAGTGTTGAAGTATGTGGTCTTGTGTTCGGCTTGGAACTTGTACCGAGCGAAATATTATCGGTAATGTTGTTTTTTATTGCCGGCACGAAGCACCCAACTCTTTCTTTTTTTTGTGTATGAACGCCTGTAAAAGGATCCACAAAGTTTTCACCGTGGTTGACAGTTCTCTGGGAGTAACCAATGACACCAGGGATATTGTACTCCCTCCAAAGGTGTAATGGTCAGCATGCTCGCCTCGCAAGCTAGCAAACCCGGGTTCGATCTCCGGGCAGGGTGAAATTATGGGCAAGTTTCTTTATGCCATTTGCCTCTGTCTACCCAGCAGCAATTGGGAACCTGGATGTTAATCGATTTGCTGATCGTATTCCGGGGTAATGGTTAGCCAGTGCAGTTGACGAGCTGTCCGGTCTTCTAGGACTATTCCTTGGCACTGGGTCATGCAGCTCATTAACTTAGGGTGTGGTTGTTGTGTTGGCGACAGCTTCTACACCTTAAACAAATTCACGCCTGGGTGGCCCTAGCGCCGGTCATCCTCGTTGCACGAGGGATAACCATTAATTATTAGTATAAATGATACTACCCACTTTTATAAACCGCTGACATTGGTGGTATGAGAGTACAGTATCTGCACTTCACGGCTACGATTGTATTTTAATTTTCCAAACTTGCTTTAGTCCACTTAAACCACAACACCACCCCCACCCCCTAGGGGTTCCTGGTTATCCAACCAATGTTCACGCATCTCAGAATAAAAGCTTTTCCTGTTTACGACAGTTTCAAATGATACATCCAAGTTTTTTGCAATGTAACACTCATTAAATGCCTTCCTTATAAACGCATTACAAAATAACAAGTTCCTTCACGGTAACAAGTGTACTTTGTCAACAAGTGCCCCAAAATGCAGAAACCGAAAACCCACAGTGAGATTCTGATTTGCGGGACACAGTCGCGTAAGTAAGATGTAAACATTTTCTCCTACGAAATTTTACTTTAAATGATAAGTCCACTACAGATGAGGTTCATTTTCTTTGTTACATATTTTTAGAACATAAGAACATAAGAAAATAAGGAGTCTGCAATAGGCCGGTTGGCCTGCGCAGGCTGCGCATGGCAGCCCCTGTCGAGAATTACAACCACTCTCTTTCATCCATGAATCTATCTAGCCTCCTTTTGAAACCTTCCAGAGTTCCAGCACTTACCACAAAGTTGGTAAGCTTGTTCCACTCGTCCACCACCCTATTTGTGAACCAGTTTCTTCCTATCTCCCTCCTAAACCTAAACTTATCCAACTTAAATCCGTTTCTCTGAGTCCTATCCTGCGCGGATATTATAAGAACTTTATCTATATCCTCTTTATTTATTTTTTCACCATCCTTCATATTATTTGGCATAAACAATTTATCTATCTATCCTTCGTTGTCGTGACATTGTGGCAAGTGGTGCTTAAGGATAGTTTTTAGTATGTGCTTCAGATTTTTTTCATTCAAAAGGGCCTGGATGTGGAAATACATATTAAAGTAGTGAAAAAATACGCATTCAATGTTGCTTACTTTGTTTACCTCCCTGCCTCCACATCTAGTGGACTCAACAAGGAAGGAAGCCCGTGATGATGAACTTGTCCTGCGTATTTTAAAAAATTAACACTACTTTTGCTTACATTGTTCTAGTAGGCTGTTCTACAGATCTGTTAACTTGAATGAAGAAATAGTTCTTTATAACTGCACTTGCATAATCACTAGCCAGCTTCAGTCCATGTCCTCGTGTGTGTTACATGTGGTATCTTGTAGAAATGGTCAGCGTTCATGTATGCCATCCTCCGTAAGATTTTAAATTTCTATATTACATCTGGTCTGTTGTTTCTTGTTTGAAGATTTGCCATCCACTGAGGCTTTAGACTATCTGAAAACGCGAAGTCTCATTTTATAAATGATTTTAGTTGCCCTGCGTTACAGTTTCTGGTGATTATGTATATATTTATACTGGATTGCTCTATCAGTAATGCCTGTCTGGTCTACCTGTAGGTCCAATGAGTGCTATCCCCGATGAGTCCCGTGTTGGCACAGGAGGAACCCGGAATCCACGGATAAAACCGGTAATGTTCAGTAATCATACTGAACAACAACCCTTTTCACATCCAACCCAGTAAAAAACCCGGGGCACACTGATGAGAGACAGGCTCGATAATGATGTACCACCGACATATACGTGATATTATGTGTTGGTGCAGACATGGTGGTGTTCATGCTTGTATATGATATAATAGTCCAGGTGGGGATAATTGGTGTGATAATAGGTATGACTGATGGTTCTCTTTGAATCCATGTTTTGGGGTCTTGATGAGTATGTCTTTTTTTAAGTGATAGATGATAGCTTCCTTGAAATTATCTCCAAGAACTTGCAGATAAGCGATACTAAACTAATGCGTCGCTAGTTTTCCACTGCATTCCTACTACCAGTTTTGAAGATTGGAATAAGATTTTCTAATTTCCAGTCCGAACACACTTTCAATTGATCCAGGGATTTTCTTACTAGTAGTGCTTGTGCCATGCATTCGATGTGTTTTGTTTCAACGTGGACTGTATTCCAAGCACAGACGTACTATCAGTTTGCTATTATTTTGTGCTACCAGATTACATCCCATAGATTCAAAGGATCCTGTGTTGCTCAGTCTGCCATTCTGGTCATTATTAGCTTTTTTTTGTATAGTAGAACAACTGCCCCCTTTACAGCTCTATCTTTTCAGAATGGTGAATGATACCCTTGCGTGCATAATAATGCCCATCTAACGACACATCATCTAGGTCGCGTGTCTCACTAATCTCGATAATGTTTGGTTGCTCAGTATCCATATACTTGACTACCCCTGCAGACTTATTTACAAGGCTTATGTCCTCACCTCCATGTCCTCGTGCCGTGGCGCAGCGCCACAGCACGCACTTTGTCCCTCAGTTCTTTGTCTCTAATATGCAATGCAACTGTTAGGTCAGGGGATACGAAGACATTACAATATTCAGTTAACCGCTTCAAGCTTGGTGTCTTCCTAAGATTGCCATTATGTGGTGGTGCTAGCTAACTGTGTCTTGTTTACCTAGTCCATCCACGAAATTAACAACTTTTCTAAGCATATTCTTATTCAGAGTTTTGTCAGGTCCTCTCGCTTACTCTCCAGATTTTTAATGAGCGCTTTATCTTTGCATATTTCAACTTGCTTAGGTTCTCATAAGTGTGGATAATCATCTACTGCCAAAATAGGAAATACCCTTTTTTGCACTTTACTCCCAAGGAAATTCATAATATATAGATAATATTTTGCAATATGCCACTGCATCATAACCTTTGACACCATCTTAGTAGAAATCGACATTCCACCAGATTACTTCGACAGACTTGCAGATATTACACCGACATATCACCAAAATACGAAGTCATATTAAATTATCCAGGACAATCAGACACATAATATCAACAAACATTGTCATATATTTAATCCAACATAATAGCATCAAGTTGAAGGACTTGGTGTCTTGGGTGTCTTACGGTAATCGAACCCATAAAGCTCTCAAACAGTCTTCTAGCAGTACGACATTCCTTTTCGATAATTAATGTTACCGTGTATATTAACATCTGTCCTATTGACTCACATATTTTTATAAAATGTCTGTACAGACACTCTTTGTCTAACTGTTGTGAAGTGTGTCTCGAGTATTGTTTCAATGATATTCCTTTTTATGAAACTGATTCAAAGATACTTAAGTGTTTCGAGTTTTGAACTCTGTTCAAAATAAACTGAAAAGTAGTGGAAGTAAAGTGCAAAAATGGGTAATGAAATAAATGGGTAAAAAAAATAACCCGAGTTCGGTTTGACTTTATAAAATGAAGGATTAAGATCAGATTATGGTAGTTAACAGTGAACTGAAAGTTACGGTCTTTAGTTGATGTTCATGATAATGCTGTTAATAACACCAATAATGATCATCATCCATTCGTAATTAAATTCTTACATTTATGTGGAAAATTTGAATATATGAAACAAAGAGAAACATCGACAAATTATACTGTACCACGAATGGTTTATAGTTTGTATTAGAGCACATGATGTTCAACAAAACTATCTGCTGTTTACATTGTTATGCGGCAGCAGTGTAGGTTCACAGCAACACAACCTACCCATAAGAGCCGAGGATGCTGACCAAGGAATATTCTAACATCATCTAGCTCTCATTAACAGTTTTAACAAAGCCTGTTGTTTTAATATTGATCTTTGAATATTACTCCATTGTTTGCATCCATCGATAATATATTGTACCATTGTTCTGCAGTACATCAGTATAGGTTGAAAACTGTATTTTAAATATAACACTGAGACCACAGTACTGTAGTTAAAACGCTCAGGGAAACTAGTTTTATGTGGACTAGATAAAGCCTCTGTGAAATAATCATGTTTTAAATTCAGTTTATAAATGTAGAGTTTAATTATTGATCTGATAATAAACCACACAGGACTAGCTCAATAATACCAGCATTCCTTTAAGTAATGTATGAGCCTAAATTTTCATAAACATTTCAAAGACGATAGTTAGGATAATCATTCGTTTTTATCACTAAAATCTCTCGTAATGTTACAGTATTTTTTTGTCTCATAAATCGTCTGTGTCTGGAAATTAGTTTTTATCAGTGAAATATGGTACAGTTATTGGCTCAATGTACCGATCAAACAACAGTGCTAAAATGATGAGAAGGTAAACTTCAGTTTGTCTACAATGTTTACAAATAGATAAAGAGGAAAACGAATCAGTTTCTATATACTACTGACATTTCCTGACAAAGGCCCTGAAATCATTTACTCCTGTCCCTCCCTCTTACTAGACTTTAATTTCTCTGCCTTCCCTCTTACCCTCCCTAGATGATCCTTAAAATTCTCAGTTTATTTTTAGGATGTATTTTAATACTGTCTTGATGTACATAACAATCAGATGTATATATTTTTTTTTCAACGTGACTTTTAGCATTTTTTACGATATTTATTAAAAAGAATAAAGGAGGTTTTGATTGGAATGTTTTATTTTTCCATTTTTTCAGATCATCTGACAGAATCATAAGTGAAGCATATACAGTATATCATAAACCTTCCTTGTAGGATCACCTTCATCCATGTGGCTTTACCTAACTGGTATACCGTAGATAGACGATAGCTGATATTTAAAAATATATGAAAGGCGAGAGACGATGACAGCAGGAGACAAGACTATAGGGTTACAAACAGAATGATGAATGAAACGACGA